CTTATGCACTATTAATGAATATTAACATAATCAGTTGTCAGAAGTGCCTTCAAAATGACATGGAAGCACTTTTTAAGAGAATTTATTAATAAAGCATATATATGTTTATATGTATGTTTAAATTTGTGATGACATATTAAATATTAATACAAGTCCTGTTCAGTGTATGAATGAGTTCAGATTGGGGTGACAGAGATCTACTCACATTTCTTATTAAAGGTGTAAAATGATGTGTTCCTGGTACAAGACTGGAGGCTCTGGCTGTTTAWTTCAGARGCAAATCAATAAAAAAGGAACTCATCTTTTATGACGTTTGATTTAGAGATACTATTGGGTCCTCTTSTGACAGTGGACAGATTTAATCTAACAATATATTTTTCATTAGTGTAAAATCTGCCCTATAGTCTTATCTTATCAGGTGTTAAAAACACGACTCATCTTCTCTTGTTTGTTACAATTGAAACTTTTGTTTTTATCAGTATCGTCGGGGCTGTCCTTGGGTCAGACGTCCAAGCGCTCCCACATGCACCTGTCCACTTCGTCCCTTGGAAACGCTCTGGGTAATGCACCCCCAAGTTTGCATTACCCAGTTACCCCATGTCACTACAGCAACCAGCAAACAACCTACGGCATGATGGCAGGTAAGAAGAGGAAAACAACTTCAAGGTTCGAGGTATTCATTGCAAAGTACGAGGAATTATGTGTAAGTTTTGTTTCTTACTTAATGAATTTGAACATTTTTTTTTTGGTCTTCGTGACTTTATAATAAGTACATTTATTATTTAAAATAAACTAATAATATTCAACTAATATGGCACTGGTTTGATCCATTAATAAATATTATTTATGCATTACTGTTACAGACAAAATTGAATCCGTTTAAAGGATAAAACAAAGAGTTTGTGTCTGAAGCAACAATGCTGAAATTATAATGAAAATACATTTAAAAATATCGTTTTAAAAAATGAACAGTCTGGGCTCACAAGCAGACCTCGACTCTGACTTCATCAATTTATCACTGTGGTTAATTTATTGTTACATTCTGACCTCGGTCCCTCCTTCTTGTAGCGCAGGAGATGCTCTCCGCCAGTATATCTCAGACTCGTATCCTGCAGACCTGTGGCGTCCCTCACCCTAACATGGTGAGTGCTGCAAACCCATTACAAGGTAATTAACACATTCGCACTCTGCACACACCGACACACAATCTCCCGCATTCCCTCACATGCAGTTAATTCCACTAAATTAAGCATAATGCGTGTTTGCTTTCCATTTAGTTGTAAATTTTCTACTATTTAAAATTAATTTCAGCCATGATTACATTTCCTGAGCTCTTAAGTGCGATCATTAAACCCAACTGTCACACAGAACTTGGTAATTTTTTCTAATCGTCTTTGGAGCTGAAGTTTAAAATGTTCAGTGACCTAAATACAAAACTTAAAGCAGTCACTTTTTTAAACTAAAATACACACTAATTTATATTGTATGTCAACATAAGCAACTCCTCAATGTCTGAGGTTGAATAAATTAGAGCTTTATATTTGTGTCTTTGTTGGACATAAACTGATTTAAAAGGAACCCTTGACTAGAATATTTATGATTTGCAGACAAAATAAAAATGGTAATTTTTTTTCCAGAAAAAAATGTGTAAAAAGTAGGAACAATTTAACAATTTGACGTACGCCCAACTGTGACTCACTCTGTAAACGGTCTGACAGAAATTACTCATCCACAGTGTCAAAGGCTGTGCCCAAGATATTACACTCTTTCTTTTCTACCACCAGGAAGTAGTCTAATTTGTCACTTCAGTTATCTCAAACTATGCACTACTAAGGAACCAAAGGGCATAACTAAAGCGTAATGAACAAAACTGGTGCTTTTTTCTTCAACCTTAAATAAAAGAAAAATGTATGAGTTGATATAAGTCAAGAAAAACAGGTGATGTCTTAATTAAGATTAAGTAATAAGTGGATATTGTCAAACCACTTTATCAAGAAATCTCTAAAGTAGTTTTTAGAACGTCTTTTAAAAAGTTGAAGTAGTTTAATTGATGCAAGACTTCACCTCTGATGAATCAGAAAATTAGTTTTGTGCAGTGAATTGAGCAGYAGCAATCAGAAGGAATTGAGACAACTTGTGTAAACAAAATTAATGTTACTGCACAACTCTGGAATCATAAAAAGGAGGTCAGATTTTTATTTTTTATTTCATTTTTTTCTTTTAGGTTTGTTTTTTGTCTTACTTTTAGATGTTTTGTTTTTAGTATTCACTGATTTACGGAATGCACATTAGAGCTGTGGCCTCTCAGCCTCCTGGCCTGGGGTCTCACTGAGGGAAGTTCCTGCATGCATGGGTTTTCTCCAGATACTCCAGTTTCTTTTCACGGACAAAAAAAAAAAAACATGTATGTTAGATTCATTAGTACTCTAAACCAGTGGTTCCCAAACTTTTTATCTTCTGACCCACAAAATATTCATTTCAAAAACTTGCGACCCCAATTATTACTGGTCTGAGTACACAAACTTTGCTAATAAACCTAAAAACAAAGGCTACACAAATATAAATACTTATTTATACTTATTTTGTGGTTTTGTGATAACTATAGGGAAATATTACATCACCAATTATTTTACTACCCTTTAATTTGATTTCTGAAGTGCAGTGGTTCCCCAACTTTTCAGCTTTTGACCCACAAACAGTAGCAGAGACCTGTGCCCCCAACTATTTTTGGATGATAAACCTTTGTATCAGGTCAACTAAACATGGGCATAGTAACAATATTTATTAACTACATTTATACATTTTAAGTACAAAATGTAATTAATTCAGAAAATCTTTTCAGGACCCCACCTTGATGTTTCGGGACCCCACTTTTGGTCCCGACCCCAACTTTGGGAACCACTGYTCTAAACACATGTCAAACTCAAGGCCTGCGGGCCAAGCATGGCCCACCACAGCATTTTATGTGGCCCACAAAAGCTTCAACGRTGTATTACTGCCTTAAAATAAGCRTRTGCTGCTTTAAAACAAACATTGAGCATAAACTACATATCTCATCATTGCATGTCAATGATTTTACATGCATGATGACTGCATCCCACCACTAGGTGGAGGTGCACAAGGTTCAAAAGTAGCAACGAACCGTTTGCTRATAGCCGGCAAAATTTTCCGTGCAAAATCTTAATGTCACTGTATTTTCACTGGCTACTTTTTCTGCAGCCAAAGTTCTACTGGGAAGGGGGGATTTCCCACTTACAGGTTGTACATTTAAACTGGAACGCCCGTCCAGTGGGAATTCCATGTCGGAAAGTGGGAGAGTCCAGAATTAAAGACTGCAGCTACTTACTGCTACTAGAAAGTAATTGAAACTYTCTTACTCTTACTTTTAATAATATTTATTTCATATTTAGTCAGTTGCGCGTGTAGTACTTTTACRAGGACATGCTAAAATGCTATTTCTATGCAAGAAATACCATGTAGAGCTCAGTAATTATTTGTTAGCGGTGCACAGCTGTATCAATGAGACAAAGAACATGACGTTTAGTGTTCAGTCAAAGTTAAACATGAAACATTGAAGTTAAGTACAAATGACCCTGAGGGAAACTATAACGCTCATGTCGCCCAAGTGACACCTCTGCTCTAAACTATATCTAGTTTTGTGTGTGTGTGTGTGTGTGTGTATGTGTGTTTTCCTCTATGTGGTCCTGTGATGGACTATCAGAAAAACTGCTACAATAGGCATGGATCCCTCTCTCCTAAATAGAGTCCCTTTAGAAAAGACACTTACCATAAACATTATGTTTTGTTAAAATATAGTAGCTTCAGGGCGAAAAATATACCACTAGTCACATCTGTGTTGTTTGCTTGTCAGTTTGTTTGCTTTCTGGCTTTGCTTTAATATTTGATTGGGTATTGCACGTGTGTGTAGCAGCAATGGAGTCCATATCTATGTAGAAAAAAAGGTTAGTAGGAAGCCTTCACAAAGCCAGTGAGCTGATTTGCGAGAGGGGCTTGCTGCGGGTCTGTAGCACATGAACAACTGCTGTGCTCGCTGCAGCACAGCCGAGTCCTCAGGGAACATCAGAGGATGCATCAGGTAAAGACAAGCTCAGATTTACTGACTTTCAGAGGCACGGCGGGGAGAAAAGATGCCTCAAGTTGAGTYAATCAGAGCAAGTTGTTGTTCTCTGGGGGTAAAGCGTTTCTCTTTCAACAAGTTCCAACATCAAACACCTCCAACGGGCCGGGGCGCTGAGCAGAGGGTGCATCTGCTTTTAACATCAGGAGCAGCTGACACCAATTTAGAAGCAAATTGTCACTTATTTTGGTGAGGAACTGCTTTAAATCTTAGTCTTTTTTTTCCCCAAAACTGACAGATACGTTCTGCATCAGTAACCTTGAGAGAAAATTTTGAGTGAGAGAAGAACTCCAACCTCCTCCGTGATATCCCCAGCACAAGAGGAAATTACTAAGGCATGTTTTAGCGTGCAATCTGCAGAGCTGCTCTCCAGTTTGAGTATRGATCCAGCTGAACAATAMGACGGGTCAATGATGGCATCCCCCSCTTTCTCTTCTCTTTTGGATAGCCAGCTATTTAATGCAGGCTTGTGAGAGGAGYTGCTGAATTTAGTATTTGTGGCATTATATTCTAGCTTCTAACCGAAAATGACTCTTACATCTCRATTTCCAGGCCATATTTCAGTAGAAAATAGAAGCCTTTGTTRCACCCTGTCATCTCAGGTTCAATAGAGAAAAAATAAATGATGCTTTCCTGCTTAACTGMGGAAGCTTTTGTGGGGTTGCAATAAGCATTTCACAGATTTACAGATTTACAGTGGAATCGTGTTGACAGTAATTTACATGCATTTTGGATAGTTAGATGGTTTGGGAGAAAACTATTGCATAAGGTATCATGTGCCAGTAAAAATTAAACAAGTATTAACAATTTCAATAAAAGCGGACCATTAATACTGTAAGAAAASATGTTAATTTACAGCTGAAGCATGCACAGGAGACAAATTGTTAGCCTAATAATGGCATAATTGCCTAAGTCATTTGCGACCAAATATGTCTAAAAAAATTCAGATTTTAGACTTAACTAGACATGGGTTTTTACGATTTAAAAACAAGTGTGCATTGCCTTGTGGCATGTCATTGCCTGCAGCAATAGACTTGCAGAATGAACTGACCAAGTTCAAATGTGTTTTCTAATCAAGTACCAGCTTGTGGCTGTCAGCAGGTGT